ATATATATATATATATATATATATATATGTGTATACATACATATATATATATATATATATATATATATATATATATATATATATATATATATATATATATATATATACGAAAATCAGTGTAGAGTATAATGTACTTTTTCTTTGGTTCCAACTACGTTGACCCATACAAGGCACCGTTTTAAATTTTTAGATAACATATAGAAAAATGTACTCTTCGAAAGTTTGATTTATGTCACTCAATAGCAAGACCATTATCTACTTGTAGAAGCTTTCAGAACGACTTTGGTAAATTTTGTCCAGCCAGCTGGTACCAACATCTGCTGTGGCTCAAGGACAATTTATATCTAGTTGCCTATAACTGTCAATAAAAAGACAAAACCATTCCTTATAAATTAATGTGTCTGAAGAACGCGTTCGACAGCTGAGCACATCATCTCCTCTCGAGTGAAATAACTTTCTCAGTCTCCCACCTGTCATATGGGTCCCCGTAGAGGTCCAGGTCAAAGCCAAGACTTTCGGAGTAGAGTCCCCAGCCCTCGGTGAAGGCGGTGTTCATGGGGAACCTCGACGGCGCCTGGAAGTAGTTGCGGTCCTCCATTGCTCGCCTGAAGAAGGGCATGTTGACGGACTCGATGCTGTGCGAGCCCTGCAGGTGGTGGCCGGGGTTGCCCTCGTGCAGAGACAGCGTCATCATCTCGTACTTGGGTCTGCCGAAGAGGTTGCGGATTCTCACCTGCTTTTGTCCTTCTCTCACTACGATGTAATATTTTCATTAAACCATCATATGGATATAAGTTAAAGTTAAAATTTATCGGCGCCTGACTACATGGACAGTATTGTTTAGTTCTTAGTTTATAAGAGATTTATGCTTAGAGTATATAACAATGCAGTAGATATACAGACTGAGCATCGTAGTGGTAAGTATTGACGTAGAAGATGCCCGGCCGGGAACCGTCATAAGCTCCAGCCAGGTAGTAGGCTCCCACACCGTCAGGAGATGGATCAGCTACCACCCTGGAAGTGAATGAAGTTTCAGGTCAACGTCGATTCGGCTCTAGGTGTCCTTGACACATTCAATGCAGTACACAGTGATGCAGGTATAATGTGCATGTGATAATTACTGTAACTCAGATGTGGGTATGTTTGTAAAGAGTTCAGGAATCTTTGGAGGAATCACGTTGTATGCAAGGTCCTGGAACCCCGCTAGAAGGTCGTCTGCATTGTCGTAGTAAAAGCGGGAGTCATTCCTAATCATTGCAGAGAACTCAGGAACCGTCATGTCGTATCCCAGCTCCTCGACGATCTTGGGAAGAATAGAAATACTAAGCATCGGTTCTAATAAGAGTGTTTTCTGTGGTTATTAATTTGATAGTGTGATCAATATGAAAGCTGTTGTCAGCAGAGGACCAGCAGTTAGAACTTGATCAAAATCATACTTTGGCCATCTCTCCCTCGATGCGAGTGACTTCGTCTAGACCCAACTGATGAATTTCACTTGCTGTCAGACTGGTTGAGGTGTGGAATCTGTGCAGAACAGATATATACTCAATAGAGCCTGATTATCTATTGCTAATAACATGTACGATTATCATCACATCCGTTCAATATACTTCACCATTCTTGTACCTTACGCACACATCCATACATGTGTGTGTTTGTATATACATATTTGTGTGTGTTTGTGTGTTTGTGTGTGTCCGTCCGTCCTGGCAGGCTCCCAGATTCTTAGATCTTGCTCCAGGAGACCAAGACCACCAGATACTAGACCTAATAGCTTCACTTCATTGCTAAATGCATCGAGAGCAGCCACGAAGGTATCCAGAGACTCAGATAGAACAGCAAGGTCAAATAACTTTAACATTGCCTAGTGTTGCTCCACAATGACTTTAGACAGTAGCTCTGCCCAGTATCCATGATCCCTCAGAGTGATTCACAATGAATCGTGTCAAACCCCTTTTTTAAGTCGATATGGGCTGCAAACAGCCCACAACCACAACTCATGACGGTGGTCTAAAATGACTCAAAGCGACAGGATATGGTTTAATGTGGATTTACCAAGAATTAATCCAGATTACCCCGGCCTCTGGCATTCAGCAAGATTGCCAAAGCTGGTACTAATGTATCAGATTTGATACTTTTAGGTGTGCCAAGTACAACTGGTCAACCCTGAGGAAAATGGTAAGAACACCGCAATAGACTCGAGTAAAGTCTAGAATACAAGTAAATATTGCAGAGGAGACACGGATAAGACATGTGGTAAAGAGGAAACACGTATATGACACGTATGTCGTACAGAGACACAGGTTGTATGCAAATGTGGTACAAAGGGAGGAAGCCTTTGTTGCATTACAATTATTCTGCTTCAGTCTCACATCTTCCTAAGAGTACATAGTCTGTGATAGGAAATATTGTGTGCAACTTCAAATTGGGGCATGTAAACCAGTTTGGTGCCTTGGTCATTACCTACAGAAGCATTTCAGGAAGAATGCTAACCGCAATTTTAATTAAATTAAGTATATAATTTGAATTTCGTGAGTTTTGGTATCTTTTGTGCTAATCTGGTACTTTTCAGTAGCCTGAACTGGTAAAATCCTTGTCTCCTTCTACAGAGGGACGACCATGCCCCTCACCAGGTCAGGGGGAATGGTACCAAACTGCCACATTGTAGGTAAGACAGCATGCAAACCCTTTCAGCTAGGGGGGATAGATCTTTGCTGATGGGTGGGTCTGTCACAGACATTTAAACAGCACGCACATCAAGGGCTAACTGTTAATGGAGCAACTTGATGTAACTGTTCAAAATACTCAACACGATCTGACAAACTGTCCTTTGTCCCTTCAACAGTGACTGAGTCCTGTGCACCAGCGAGTGATGCAAGATCCAATCCTCTCTCAGTCGAGCCATGCAGCATACATCTGTGTCCACCAGTGTCAAAGGTAAGATGAAATTCTGTCTTGCTCTTTGGCGGTAGCTAGTGGACTCAAGTGTTTCACACTTGAAGGTATCCCACGGCACTACGAGTTTCAACAGATTATTGATTAGAAATAGCCTCATCAAATCTGGAGCATAGTCCCTCCCTCAAACTGTTCAAATGAAACATGGGGATTTTTGGACTGACAGGGGTTTCGAAGTGGATTCGGAGGGTAGCCACATCCAATATACGGTCAGTTCTACAGAATTCAGCACTGCAGTAGACCCTGCAGTTCTGGAATATCCTCCAGTAACAAGGATGTGGTCGATCTTCTTGGGTCAGAACACTGGCGCAGGAGCCACAACCCCTCAATCTCTAAAATCTTGCAAAGTCCCGGAAAAGGAGGCTATTCTCGCTGCTGTCATCAGCGCCCAATCCATGAGGACCAATAGACATTTCATAATCAGCCGGATCACAGTCGGATACCACACTGAAGTTGCTCAATGCAAATATCTCGGCGAGGACAGCTATTTTTTCACATCAAGTTTACAGACATCAGAGAGAGCAACCATACTAATTCTCTACTTTTAGGACCTCCTGCTGTTTCGAGAGCCTCCATAGTTCAGCCTAAGACCACTAGTTTCCGCGAATCACCATGAGGAGGCACTGTAGATGATGAAGAAGCTGTGAGCTGGCAGGGGAACTTATTCCGAGCTGCTCCCATTTTGCACCAGGCTAGTCAGCGGTGGCAGCTGCAGGCAAGAAGACATGTAAAGCACTTAAGATTATTTAGGCTACCACACCATTGCTTCACATCACCCCAAGCATGAAGTATACACCCATATATGTATGTGTGTGTGTGTGTGTGTGTGTGTGTGTGTGTGTGTGTGTGTGTGTGTGTGTGTGTGTGTGTGTGTGTGTGTGTGTGTGTGTGCGCGCACTTATAAACCGACTTTCGTAGAAACAAAATTCCAATGCGCTTGGAGTTTGGCAAACAACATAATTGCTTGTCATAAACACAGATTGACTGCTGATTGTACTGCCAGGGTTAGGGTCAGTTAAGGAAAAACGATCCACATTACACTCACGTATCAACATTAAGAACATTAACTCCCCCTCCCCCTCCCCCCCTTCTCTCTTACTCTGGTAATGCCATTTACACGCATCCATAGACGGATATTTCTGTGTGTGTGACAGTTTGCATTTACTCTACAGAAGCTAAGTGATTTCATATGTATGGTCAGACACAGGATCACTTCAGAGACAGCCGCCTTTCGCTTCACCTGAGGAGCTGAGCGTAGCGGTCCTCGCCGTCGGGGAGACTGGTGACGGCGATTTCTGGTCTGGTCGTGTACTCGTTCTGCACGTAGTCTTGTAGGACTTTGAAGGCCGGGGAAATCTGTTCAGGCAAGGGAAGGGAGGAAAGTAAAGTCTTGGCGAAGTTGTCACTCTCGAACATTGTCAGCCTGCCTGTATGTCTCTCTCTCTATCTATCTATCTATTTCTCGATTTTATTATATCACTCTTTCCTTTCCTTCCTTACCCCCCTTTCTCTATCTATCTATCTATTTATCTAACTATCTATCTAACTATCTATTCATCTATATAACCCTGACTCCTTCCTTTTCTCCCTCTCTCTCTCTCTCTCTCTCTCTCTCTCTCTCTCTCTCTCTCTCTCTCTCTCTCTCTTATATATATATATATATATATATATATATATATATATATATATATATATATATATATATATATATATGTATATATATGTATATATATATATATGTATATATATATATGTATATATATATATGTATATATATATATGTATATATATATATATATATATATATATATATATATATATATATATATATACATATATATGTATATATATATATATATATATATATATATATATATATATATATATATATATATATATATATATATATATATATATAACCAAAGAGCTGCACTATATGTTCGTAAATTTATGTAAAGGAAAGTGCAATCAACGACCCTTCCCCTCCTGACATTATGACACTCTGCTGACGTAACTTGTGACAGCATCTCGTCATCAGCTGACAG